CTTTGCCTCCGCTCCCCATCAGTATGAATTTGGCCTCAACTCTGGTCAGCTCTTCTCTCCTTTGCTCACTAAATGCAGCACCATTGCATCAGCGGGCATGGAGAGCTCCTGTAAGAGCTCCTACAGCGCTTGTGGGGATGAGGCAGAGGCACTCAGAGACGCTTGCTGGCACAGTTTCTCCCAAGGCCAAGGAGAAGCAGCTGGCATGGTAAAGCCAGGAGTTGCTGCGGGCAGTGTGGTAATTTTCCAGGAACTGCTATTTCAACCCCGCTGCTGACCCAGGGCAGGCCAGCGGCAGTTTGCCCAAACAACGCAGCCAAGGGTCAAATGAAAAGCTTTCTTTTCCCCTGCAGGACCTCCTCCTTTCCAATGAACTACACATCAACTCAGAACCAGTCCCCTCCAGCTCCAGAGCCCCCCATCATCTTTGTCTCTTAATGAGAAGGAAGGAGATAACAAAACAGTCGGACTCCATCCTAACCCAAGGTGTGAATGCACCGGGCCACCCAAGAGGGGCTAGGAGTTTGTCTCAGATCTACACACACACACAGCTAAGCAGGGACAGGACCACTAAGCACGGCAGTGGGTAAAAATTACTCCTGCACTGCACCAAAGGCCAGGCTGACAGCTCACCCCTGGTTGCAAGAACAGGCTGAGCCAGCCCTCAGGCTTCTCGCCATCCTCACTGCGCCCCTCTGTTCTCCTGATGCTCAGTGACTTTCTGGTCAGGAGACAGCCAGCCTGGGATGCCATCCCTCCTGCTCCGTACACAGAGTCAGTTATCTGCCTGCTCTGACACCCCGACAGCTCTGCCCAGCCCCAAGTCACAGCAGTCTCCACCTCTAAAGCCAGAGCAAAACAGCAAACACAGCATCTGCGGTGGCAGGGAAGTGTTCTGCGTGGGATCTGAACGAACCTTTTCAAAGCCAAGCCCAGATGACCAGCCCTTAGTTAGAAAAATGCAAAGAAGCAGGAGGAGAGAGGAAATTAAAAGGAAAGATAAGCGAGAACACAGTGTATGAGATTGATAGGCTTTCCTTTGTGCTGGTGCAGGCTGCTACAGCTGAACTCGCTCCCACTCTGAAAATCACAGCAGATAGGGAACTTGCCACCTACAATCTTCCTTCATGAAGACACTGGGAAGGGTAATAACCAGAACAGAGCCCCAGGCCATCTGTACACCAGCCCAGCTGCGAAGGGGAAGACGGCAAAGTCCTTGTCAGTAAAGAGGACCTTAAGCATATTAGGTTCGACCAGTGGTCAGGAGCTGACCTCAGCCCTTTGCTGAGTGTTGCTTTTCTCCAAGAGGAAGAAACCCTGCAGAGTCAGCCGCGCTTTCAAGTAACTGCTTGCCCAGCTATTCCTATGAGCCAACCACCTGTGCAAGGCACAGCTCACCGGGGGAGCTCCAGGGAGCCTTCAAACCACCCTTGGCAGTGAGTGGTCTCAACCGCATGTTGAAATGAGGTGGCTGTTGTGGAAAGGCAAGCCTCTTCCTCACCCTGTCCCACACGGTGTTGTTCCAGCAGCAGGGAGGCAAAACAAAGGCCGAATAACAGCCCTGTCCAAAGTCTCGGAGCTGCATTTACATGCACTGCATTCAAAGACCAAAACAGGCAGACCTGCAGAACACTGCCCCAGACACCCACAGCGCTGGTCCAACCCTGCAAGTCCAAAGTCCCCAGAGGTTACTTAAACGTGGGCAGCTCCAAGCACTGAGAGAAGCTAGCTAGCTTCTTTGTTTTCAGATCTGAGCTCTGGGTGATGCCAACAAAGCCAGCAACATCGTTTTCTGCTGGCGGCTGAGGGTCTCACCTAACCTATTTCTTGCTAAGGAAACCAGACAGCTAGGGACGGCGGGGTAAAGCCCCAGAGTAGTTAAGGCCTCCGGCCGCGGGCTCTCCTCCCAGATCGGGAGGCATGCTGGAGAGGGGAGGACGCAGTGGCTGCGCGCTCAAAGGGTGGCTGCAGCAACAGCTTTGGCTCGTGCCGATTTCCTCCTCTCTCCCCAAGGGCTGCAGCCCGGGGAGGGACCCCAGACACACAGACGCACACGTGCTCTTCTCTTCCAGGGAAAACGGGGCTCAGGCCAGTGCCAGGAGGGAATTTCTCTGCTCGTCTCCAGGGCTGTAACGCCTCTAGGTGCCTTTGCAGAGGCTGCCCTGCCTCGTTCTAGCGATGAGCTGTGGCACATAAGAAAATTAATTAGGTGAAGAGCTGCCAGCTCCTGCAGAACCCCGGCTGAAGCCAGTGCCGCACCATCGCTCGGCACGCCAGCGTGGCAGGAACGCAATGAACTTGGCCTAGGACAACCCCCAGCCCTTCGTGGCGGGCAGAGCACAAAAGGTCCCTCAAGGGGAGTGATGCCTCAAGGCTGGATTTGAACTAGCAACCTTGCAGGCAGCCGGGCTGTCCCAGGGCCAGCCTCCCGCCTGCTCTGGCATTAGCGGCCACGCAGGTGGCCACAGCTAGGAGCCCAGCTGCTGCTCTTCTGTCCAGTTCCCAGCCTCTGGGACCAGGATTCAACCTGGAAACCAAGCCCTGCAACACCATCACCCCACGGCGAGGGTCCAGCCTCTACACAAGATGGACGCAAGCAAGCAGCAACATGCCGACTTGCAAGTTATCTATATTAAAGATACTGTACTTGCCTTTTGCTATGTCTGGAGCATTAGGGAAGGGCTTTCTGCCACCCATCGCATCCCTTCTCCCTCTGTCCTATTTCTTTGCCCTTCTCCAGGGGTACTTCCTCTCCTCCCACCACCACGCGCCATCCTAGTCCACCCTCCTCCTCGTTCGGTGAGGACCCATTTTCTAAAGGACAGAGGTTACATGGAGCAAAACGCAATCTGTTAAATAGGAAGCATGACTGACTCATAACAGAGTACAGCACATATTTGCCTCTACTAATGCCCTAACTGAAATCCCTTTGGGCCTGTGTCCCAGCTACGCTTTAAAAAAAAAAAAAACTAAAAAACAAAAAACCAAAAAACAGAAAGAGAGAGAAACAGAAGAAACAGAGATAAGCATAAGCTGATCCCTTTGCAGGGAACTGTCCTAACACTAATTGGCTTTGGTATTTCTCGGTGGCAGATCCTCACCGCGTTTAATGCCAGGAAAGCCACCATCCGACACAGACGGGTCAAACGGCTACGTTCTGCGCCCGTGCCGAGGCCGAGCGCTCGCAGAAACAGGTGTCATGCAAACCCAACCCCAGGAGCCTGCTCTTCCGCCTCACCACCGCTTTACCCTAGGACAGAGGTTTCCGTCCGTGCCAGATGTACGCAAGTCGACTTTTTTTTTTTGTTTTTCCCTCTCTCCTAAACACGTCAGGGGAAAAATTCTGCCGAGAAAGGCAGGAGCCCCACGGCCGCGGCTCTGCTCAGTCTCGTGGTGCGTTTTCTCCCCCCGCTTCCGTACCGTTGTCGGAGCAGCAGCCGAGCTGCTTAATTTGCCAGAAGCTAAAGCAAACGACGCAAGGCTACGAGCAACCCGCCGCTGCCCTCTCCCCTTCGGGCGCCCGTCAGGCAGGAACCACCTCCCGGCCACC